TATGCCAAACCTTTCCATTTTCGACCAAATGTCAAGAAAATGTATGCGTTGCTGGAGAAAATCAGATTTCTTCCATTTTATTTTTAAATCGTATATGGCTGCTGTTTCCAATACTCTTTTCGTTTTGTGCATGCATTCTTCAACTGAGCCGTCATATATAACAATATCGTCCATATAAAGCTGCATAACGTCTTCATTCAGCAGTTTTTGGAAAATATGGTTGACGAAGCGTATGAAGGCAGCTAGTGAGTTTCGAAAGCCAAACGGAGCTCTGTTAAACTCAAAAAGACCATCTTTTGTTACGAAGGCTGTCAACGCTTTGCTACTTTCCTCCACAGGCACATGGAAAAACCCATTTTCCAAGTCCATAATCGTAAAGAACTTTGCAGCCTGCAGTTTTTCTAAAACGTCTTCTATCAGGGGCACGGGGAATCGATCCTGCAAAACCATACTATTTAGTTTACGATAATCGATGCATACCCTTAGTGTTCGATCCTTTTTTTGAACTACGACGATTCGGCTGGCCACGTGTGATGATGACTCACGTACAACCCCTTTTTCCAGCCATTCTTCTGCTTGCTTTTTTACAGCTTCCGCTTCCACTGGTGATAGGCGACTCGGTGCCTGGCTTTACAACGCCATCTGGAACAATTTTCAACTTCACCGGACATTGTAGATGTTCTTCTACAGGCTTGTAGCTGCATTTGATTAACTTTTCAACCTCTCCACGATACTGCTGCGGCACTGAGATTGTGTTTTGGTCTTCAAAAATGGTATATACGTCGATAGGATGCTCATCTGTAGACATCTGTTCAGACTCATGACTATGAAACCAAAATCCCTTGGAGTCGATCGACAACCTGAATTTCTTTATGAAATCAAAACCCAACAATGAATTGTATTCCATCTTGCAATCGGCTACAATCAAAAATTTGTGTTCAGTGCGCAAACCGTCGACTTCAACATGTGCCTCAAAAAAGCCGACTGGTTTTGTGTTTGCATTGCCCAAGCCGCGCAGCAATGACGTGCTATTAAACACCTTAATTTTGCCCAGCTTTTTAAGCATACATTCATTCACGACAGATACGCCGGCTCCTGTATCTATAAGCATTCCTGCATTCCATGCTCACGCCGTTTTTGTTTATAGTTTTCAGACGCCTAGCCTCGGAAACTTCATGCACCTTTTTGGCGTTCTTTGGGCAATCACGTCACGTGATATATGCCCATTTTCGTTACAGCTAAAACATTTTGTTTCAAAAGTGAAGTCTTTTCTTTTTTGTTCTGCTGATCCGCAATTAAAACAAAATCCCTTCTTATTTACACTGTCCACCTCTTTCTTTGTATTTGCAGCTGTATAACTTTCGATGTTCCTTTTGTCTGTACTTTTCTTCTGGTGTTCATGAACCTGCTCAAAAATCTCGTATTCTTCTTTCAGCGATTTGTATGTCTTGCAACGATACATGGCGCATTTGAACTCGCTTTTAATTTGCAGACCATTTACAATGTGTCTCAACACGGCTGCTTCTTCTATATTGCCCATGCTTGCCAAGTTCTTCATTTGCAATAGGTACTCATGAAACGACTCTGATTTTCTCTTTTTACGCTCGAACAATTGATGAATATCGGCACTATTGCGGCTGCACTCAAACTCCTCAATTAGTTTTTCTTTTAAATCGTCAAAGTCGCTCACACCTTCCGACTCTAGAAACAATTTAGCCGTACCGCACATTTTAGCTCTCGCTTGGACATATTTTTGTTTTTCCGACAACTCATATGCTTCGGCGTTACGTTAAAAAATCTCGAACCATTTTCGCACTGGGACTGAACAGCCGTCAAAATCATTCACAATTTTATCAAAATTGTTGGCCGAAATTTTCACCTGCTTTTCTCTTTGATCGTCGACTTCAATTTTTAATGCCATTAATTGAATTAGCTGTTGCAATTGCATGCTGACATCACTGTTATTGTCTACTGGTAGCGTACTCGCTACTTTTTCGTGCGGCATCTCAGCTACGCTCTCTTTCACACTTTCTTGCTCATCTGCTCTCATTAGTTTTTCTGTTCTATTTACTTCTTGTTCTTCTCCTCTATCTACTTCTTGCTCTTCTCCTCTTACTACTTCTTGCTCTTCTCCGCTATCTACTTCTTGCTCTTCTCCTCTTACTACTTCTTTTTTGCGCGGTGTCCGCTTCGTTTTTGGCATATTTACAAGAACACCCAAACACAACGAACAACAATGGCGACTATTCGGCGAATAACAGAAAATATGATCTGTATACTGGAGTTTCGCAACGCACTCTTTCTGGCCTTGAGACAACGTTTGGCGTCTTTAATGTAATTTCACAACTGTTTGCAACGTAACAACTTTCAACTGTACAATTTTTAATGTTCGAAATTACAAATAAATAGCCTTTGAACACAACAGTTTGCCACTTTGTCATTCCACTTCCAGCTTTATATTTAACTCGCGTATTTTGCCATGATTAGTTTCGACTGGTTGAGCCCCCAAATGTAAGGACGAGTTTATAATAATGTTTAATCAAATACCAAATTAGAGTTATAATAATGAATCGAATGAACTGTTAACAGAGAGGGTTACAAAAATCAACTTAAAAATGTTAGACGACTTTATAATAAGATACAGCCGACGTCTTGCTTCTGCCGAGTTTTTCAACGAGTGTGTCCCTATGCTGCCACCGGGTCGTTACCATCGCGATAACCCAATAAGTCTAAACAGTAACAGTTGCGGGCAGAGCTTGGGCAGAGATTTATAGATATACCTTCATATTTGAAACTATATCATAAAGAAACTTGTCATAAGGACACAGAATCACTACATGGATGTAAATACTAAATTTGAGTTGGAAATTCCAAGAACTACGGGAGTTATAAAAAATCGCCAATACCGGGGGTACATCGAAAAAACTCAAACTCGTACTTTCTTGGACCTGGGAGAATCGGGATACCAAGTTTTGTTATTCTAGGTCTTATACTTTCTGAGATCCTCGCGATCTGCCCGCAGCTGTTGTTGTGGCTGCTTTGGTTTAACTTTGTTAAATTTTTAATTTTTTGTTGTTTTTTTGTGGAGTGATACAGCGTATATAAGAGTTAAGGTCCTTCCCTCCTTTCTTGTTTCCTCAAAAACACACAACAAACTTGTAAAGCGTACACACATAAGGTAGCTGAGATCCAAATGTTCATACGGACGGACAGACAGACATAGATTGACTCGTCTAGTCATGCTGATCAACAATATATATATATATATATATATATATATATATATATATATATATATATATATATATATATATATATATATATATATATATATATATATATATTATGTAATGTGTAATGCACACATACATACATATGTACATATGGCTATGTATGTAACAGATATATATATATATATATATATATATATATCTGTTACATACATAGCCATATGTACATATGTATGTATGTGTGCATTACACATTACATAATAATGTCAAAGCAGCAACAAATACAGCTGCGGCAGAGGTTGGGCTTGGTTATATGGCTATAACTTTCTTTCTAATCAACCTATCATAATGAAACTTGGTATACGGATATATAATCACTAACTGGGGGGAGTGGGGGTGCATCGGGAAAAATGAACAAACTCGTTCTTTCTCGGGCTCAGGAGAATATGGATACCAAGTTTGGTTATTCTAGCTCTTATACTTTCTGAGATTCTTGTGTTCATACAGACAGACGGACATGGCTATATCGACTCGGCTTGTCATCCTGATCTATGTGTTCCGTGTACACTCGCACAAAACTAATATACCCTTTTACCCTCTCGGTACAGGGTATAAGAAGAAATTAATTTGGAGGCTTCGGTTACTTTTATGATCTAAGAAAAGAAGAGCATACTTTGCACAGCCGTGCCGGTGGTGTAAAGGTATGGGAAGCAATTACGTGTTATGGAACCACAAAAATAATAATAAAAAGTGTTTGAGAGACCATTTCACTAAATTATATGACTGCTTACCGAAGAGGGTGTATGATTATTAGTTCTTTTTAATTAAGTTAAGAAAATGCAGTAACTCAAAAACTTGATTTGGGGGTCTTCAGTGAGCCTCTTCTATGTTATGCGATATTTACATGAAGGTGTGCTAATAAAATGTCGCAAAAAAGTAAATTTTTGGTATTAAATTCGTTAAAATTCAGTAATTAAGAACTATTATTTTTCCTGATGTTCAATTTAATATACTTTTATTAGCTAGAGTTAATTTTAAGAACTTTATACGATTGGCGGTTTTCGCGCAGTGTATAGTCATGTACCGTAATTCATGCTTGACCTTGCATTAGGCTATACATATATAACTGCGCTGCCCACTCTTGGCGCTCTATCTCAAAAAGGTTAATCGTATGAACAAAATTTTGATAGAAAAGTTGTAGAGAATTTTATACTCTACAACTTTGTGATAGGTGCAAATACCATTCAAGAGCGAGATATACGATTTTCGTGACATTTGACCTTGAATATCTTAAGACGCGGACACGATCTTATATGTGACTTTTGACACAACATATAGAATGCCAAAACAAAGGTGTATACACATTTTCAGCTTATTATCTCAAATTCCAAGGTGAAAGCCTAATTTGACTGGGCTACTATGGTAAATTTTAAGAAATCTAGACGAATGAACATGTCTAGATCGGGTTTTCCGGTTAGAGATGCATCTTTCTGTCTGTTACATATGCAACCCTAATATAGCATTTTTCCCTTCGGCCACCAGGCGAAAAAGTCTCAGTGAACAATTAAATAAAATTGAATGCTAAAGTACACACATAAATATATGTATGCATAATATAGAAGCATATACATATGTGTAACTATATATGTTGGTCAAAGCAAGTTTTGGTGAAAACATTTATATCATTAAATGTTTCATTATTCCTTAGTTTATAAGATGCCAATATCAATGTGTCAACCATCTTAATTCACAACTATAGCTAATTCTTACTTGTTTACTAAGTCTTGAAGTTTTTGAATAGGTTCCGGTTCGCCATCTTTACCTAAAGCAATAATTTCGTTTGAATCATAGACGCGTATTACACGATCTGACGTATTTATAAGAAATGCACTGAAATATATGAAAAGGTTTACTTTGTGTAGATTACTGTAATAAATACGTGATCATCATACTCGCCACGGCGCGCAAACTCAATGCTTTTAACAGCCGTTGCACTTGAAGTCCCCACAATTATGCGAAAGCTAGCGACTAGCTCGAATGTGTCTACATCTAAAACGAGTATCTTGCCTTTCGCATTCCCAGTATATATGTATTTACCACGCCGGTCGAACGAAGCAACAATATTTAAATCGCCCTGTAGATATTAATACCTGTAAACATTTTGGTAAAATTCGAGAAATGCTAACTCACATCCGAGTCCAACGGGAGACACTTATGCAAACCGCCCATTTGAACAAGAACAGCTGCGTATCGCATTGGGCAGACCAGAACGCGAGTATGGTCGCGTGGGTCAAACTGCACTTTAAGAACCGGGGAAGGAAATCGATATTTGTGCTCTAACTCGCCCGTTAAAACGTCCCATATGCATACATTATTGTCAGTGGAGGCAGATAGCAGCTACTAGTAAAATAAACGTTACGTTTTGTTTATTAATCTTTTCAGCTAACCTTATGGCCATTCCGGGTCCAACTAAGACTGCAAACCGGATGTACATGGGCAGAAATAATTTTAGCATGTGATCTAGTCAAAAAGTCCCAGATAACAATTCGCCCGTCATTACAGCCAACTGCTAAAAGTGTGCCATACTTATTAAACGCGCACGTTACTGCCAGTGAGATACAGTCCAATGATCCATCAAATTCCTCAGGGTAGTTTTGGCCAAATGACTCTGTGGGAGACCAAGGACATAATGTATGAAGAATAATAAGCAACTTTTATTTACCAAGAAGTTCCAAGTTCATTATGCTTATCGCAATGTACACTTTGTTAGACACTCTAAAAGACTGATGCAAGGACATAATGTATGAAGAATAATAAGCAACTTTTATTTACCAAGAAGTTCCAAGTTCATTCTGCTTATCGCAATGTACACTTTGTTAGACACTCTAAAATACTGAAGTTTGTTTGTCGAGGTAGGCACTAGAGACGTAAGTAAACAAATCAAAGTATCGCTTCTGACACAACCGGAGTACTGATGCGAAATATCGATACTATCGATAGTTTTAAATTTTTCGTAACTAACATTAGAATTACGGCCACCATCGATAGTTCATTCGTAGAAGTACACATTAAATAAAATGCAGAAAATTGGTAAGTGCAATTTTAATTTATTAATATTTATTTAATTAACATTAATATAATTTTTCTACAAGTTGATTGGGGGTGTTAACTGCGGATGGAGTTGGGAAAAAAAGTGGAAAGAATTCTCAAAAGTAAGTTAAAATATTCTAAAATCCCTCCATCCCAAATATGTACGTGCATGTAGCACTAATACTTATTTGCATTAACATGATCAGTGATTAAGTTTCATGATCGTGGCCTCCCCTACAAAAAATTTTGCATTATAAAGTCGTTCATAATTATGACGCACTATTTCGCCTTAAAATGGATCTGAGTTGGATTTGTTGAAGATTTTTCATTGATTATATGAATAAATTACTTTTTTAATGCATCTTGCATTATTTAATCATAATTTTAATTTTTCTTTCCTGTCCTCGGTACGTCCTCTTCTTGGACAGCTGCAGAGCTCTGCGCAACTTCACTCCTGCGGAGCCTTCACAATAGATTTATAAAAAATTTTGAAATTGTAAATTGATTTAATTGTACTATGAGCGGGTACGAGCCGGCAGGAAAAGAAAGAGAGTTAGCAAGCAGTAGGCCAGCAGCAGCGGCACCGACTCACCTGTTTGACAACAGAATTCTAGAGGCAGAGCAGCGGGCACATGTGGAGCAGCGGCAGGCATGAGCCGATTCGTGGATGCGTGATCTGGGCCCTGACATGCATAGGCTGTTAAGACGAACCACGGTGGGCGATTTCCGGCCCGACGTCGGCCGTGGGGCCTAATGTTCGATGGCGAAACCAAAGGCATGCCGGCGGCGGAATTAATATTCCGCTTGGAACATTTGCAGTCACGTATTGCGGGACACTCATTGTCTGGTAAATGGAAGTTCAAAAGATTGGTATTGGATGTATAAGTAAACAAATCTCGGTTGGAGTAGGTTTCGTTTAGATGTTTATTTAGCTCAACTGAGCATAATGAGTTCCAAATTATAACTAACTTAAATAAATATTCAATGCAGGCCACATAGCCTATGGCCCGCGGCAGCGCCGGAGCATAGCCCATGGGCCGTGGCAGCGCAGGCAACAGAACGCTGACTCGGCGCCTCGTGACCGTTCTTGCAGTGGTCACTCAGCGCAGGCATGCGGGTGTCAGGTTCCGCCGGCCGCTGTGTTGCAACGGCGTCCGGTGTGATGACTTGGTCAGCAGATATTGCCTTGCGCGTGTGAACTGGCATCTGTGTTGCAACGGCGTCCGGTCTAATGACCTGGTCAGCAGATTCTGCCTTGCGCGTGTTAACTCCTCCCGGGGTTAAGTGAAAGCCGTCCTCGGGTTTTCCCAGATGCGCTGCGGGTTCAATTCGGCGTTTTAGGGCTCGATGTCGTCGGACCCTCAGAATGCCAACATAGCAAAGCAGGACGAGTGCGAGAGTAAGGCAGCTGCTTAGTAACGGCCTTGACTGTAGTTCGGATTGAAGGTCGCCAATGCGTTGAAGATTCTTCAAGCTCAGATCGTGGAGGAAGGGCAAACTCAGGTGTTCTCGGTGGCTGGTCACGTTGATTTGTGACGAGGCGGACACCGCAGGTTTTTTCCTCAAGACGCCTCGATGGTTGACATAGAGAGTGCCGTTCAGGGAAATGTGGTCATTATAGGAGACCAGGTATGTTCCCGAAACCAACTGACTGATGCCATTATCTTTGACCTTAATGGTTGCGTCATTGATCAGGAGGAGGCCTTCGTCAATCAGAGTCACCGGTTGCAGATGTCCAGGGCGAGTTGCGCAATGTGCGATGATTCCAGACACCAGCTGTTGAGCGCAAGTTGAAGTCTGCATCTTCTTGCAGAAGGTAGTGCCCACAGCTGCGTTACATTCGGAAACGGCGAAGGTCTGCGTTCCGCAATCGGCTACCGTGCTACTGTCTTCTAAATCTAAAATCAATTTGTTCTTTTGAACTGGAAAGACATTAATTTTCTTACAAACTAGTTTTGGTTTTGGATATTTAATGAAAATGTAACATATTGGTATTTTGAAATGCTTTAATACTAGATACTGACAAAATGTCTGATATGCTAACATTTGTGAAGTGTTCATTTGCCAGTTCATTAATATCGACGCTGTCCAGAATTAGAGGGCTTATTAAAATGATTTTTGCTAGGGTTATGGAAAATATTAGATCCTCAAGATTATTGATAATTATTCTGTTCTTTGCAAGAATGGTTTCGAACAAATGCCCATAGTCTGAATCTTCCGTCCTGTGAATGGCGTTCAAAGTCTTTGTGATTTCATTAATTCGTGTCTGGAATTTGGTGTTTATCTCAATTTGCCTGTTTTCGGCTTCTATTAATTGTCCTTGCCTAAACTTAATCTGTTCCCAGTCGTCAAAGTCTGGTGTACCAGCTACTACTTTAAGCGCGGTTCCCAACAAATTTATACTACGTGCCTGTCTGTGATGAACTTTAAGTGTGTTTATTAATGTTTCTATATGTCCGAGGTCCGTGTTGAGTAAATTCCTCATATGGTCTTTAGTAAATAGGTCCAAGGTCTTTTTCGTTTCGTCAGCGTAAGTTTCGTATGACGTTATGTTCGTTGTATGTCCCAGGTACCCATACTCGTCCCAGATGGTCACGTCCCCGTCAGTTATAGGTATGTAGTCAGCGTGAGAGTAGTCGGTAAGTCTTGATGTCGCTGCTGTCAGAGTGGTCAGTGTCAGAGTCAGTACGAGCGAGTGTCCCAAACTGCGGTCAAATCAATATGGAAGAAAAATGTTTCTGATATAGTAAAAATTCTGACTTAGTCTAAATAGAACAAAGAGTCTTAAAAATTTTATTGCTATTATTTAAGGCTGTCCTTATGGACCACCCTCCCTTTTATAAGAACCGTTGTGCCCAAATCTGCCTCTATTACTTCTTCCGAGCACAAGGGTGACAACTTATTTCCTAATCTTTTATTTGATTTCAACAATACCTTCTCCCCAACCCGATAAGTTTTATGAACTCTATTTTTGTTTGCTTGTTCAAGCTTTCTATCCTGTGCTGTTTTAATTCTGTTTTCAACTTGCGTTGCAAGTTCCACCGGAGTTGAATGAATAACCTCTATAGGCTTTCTGTCTGTCACTGAATGAATTGACCTATTGTATTGTACGGTTGCAAGGAGAATGATATCGACGGTATCTGTTAAGTTCTTGTCCAATTTCAAGCAACGACCTATTTCCCCAAGGGTACTATGGAAACGCTTTACCTGTCCATTAGAAGTACTATGCAAAGGAGGTGCATTCGAAATTTGAATGTCAAAATTATTTGCCAGTAATGATCTTATGGTCTCAGAGTTAAGCGACTTCTCGTTATCGCAATAAATTGTTTTCGTTTTTGGAAACAGGTTTATAAGCTGTAAAATCGGAGCTTTTATGTCCACGATCGCACGTGAATAGCATGTACCACTGCGAACTTGGAGAATTTGTCCACGCAGGTCAGAAAAAATTTTTTGTCTGTGGAATACACATCAACATGCAAAATTTCTCCAGCATATGATGGTACTGGTGTTTTTCCTATTGCTTGTTTGGTTGGATGTCGACCATACTTTCCCATAGCCCATATTCTGCAATTTGTGGCTATTTCTGTCGCTAATCGACTCATCTTGGGAAAAAATAGTCCCGAAGTATTTGTTTAACATTTTCCTGGGCTGCACGGTGAGCACGATTATGCTCTATCGTGGCTATTTCCCTCTGCTCTGTGCCATTAGTTATGTCCGTTACAATATTCTTGGAATATCTAAATACAGTTGAGGGGAATGCTTCTACCAACTTATGTTGAATAAAGGCCAAAATAGGCAAATCGCAATGTATTGCGTTGACTACGTCCGCTCTTACCACGTCCTGCAAAGTTTGCAAGAGAGTGTTTCGGTCAGAGAGCCGGACAATGTGCCTAACTTTTTCCTTAAAGAAGATGAAAGTTTTCACCGAAGGGGTGTTATTCTCCTCAATAACTATCTGATTCCGGTAACAGTTTACCGGTTTGTCTGTCGCCTCTATAGTGTAAGTGAGGGATTCCTCGCTATGCACTGTGGCAGCATCAGAATGCACAGAGTCTTCTAGAGCGTTAACGTTCTGACGAGACAAAGCGTCTGCCAGGAAGTTTTCTTTGCCAGGTTTATAAATGATATTCGCATTATGTTCATCAATAAAAGCTTTCCAGCGTTTTATTTTTGCGTTCGGATTCTTGTCTGACACTGCAAATGTCAGAGGTTGGTGGTCAGTGAAAATGTTCAAGTTTCTGACTCCATATAAGTAGTTCCGAAGATTTTTCAAGGCCCACACAATGGCAAGAAGCTCTCTCTCATTGGTAGCAAAGTTCACTTCATTATCGCGTAAAGTTCGCGAAATCATAGTAATAGGGCGTCCGCCCTGAGACAATACTGCTCCGAGACCATGACCTGATGCGTCTGTTGTTAGGTCAAATGGCATTTTGAAATCGGGATACGTTAGTATCACGTCTTCGGAAGCTAGTATCTGTTTTAGCTTGTCAAAAGCTGTGAGTTGACTTTGGGTCAATTCAAGATTAACCTTTCTCGAATGATTAGCACTTATCTTGCCATTCTCGCCCTTTAAGACGTCCGTTAGGGGTCTCGCGATAGCGGCAAATCCCGCTATAAAACACCTATAGTAGCTTGCTAGCCCTAAAAAAGATCTAAGACCAAACAAGGTTTTTGGAGGCTGGAAATCTTTAATAGCTTGCACCTTTGCAGGTGATGTTTGTATTCCACCCCTACTCACAGTGAATCCCAGATACTCTACGCTCTTTTTGAAGAACTTAGACTTTTCCTGGGAGACCCTCATGCCCGCATCCCGAAGGCTTTTTAAAACCCATTCAAT